CTGAAGGTCCACACATGAGAAAAAATCTTGGCACCACCACTGACACCCAGGATTTTACCCTACTGTATACAGCACTTAAAACTGATAGATTCCAACCCCTGGTACATGGTGGCCGCATCTACATGAGACGCTGACTGCGCAGTTGTTACTGCACAATCATTTAGTACCTGTACTAAACTAGAGTAACTGCGCAGTCATGCTAAGGGATGGCTTTTTTATGATGCTGCTGCGCAGTAGCTCGTGACTATTGTACAGTAGTGTTGTATCATGCTTCCTGCCATACAGTGCTACTGTGCAGTAGTCATGAACTACTGCACAGTTAGCCTCTCACATGGATGTGGCCAGTGAGGAGTTATTTTCTGATTTTCCCAGTCCAAGATAGTGTGAAGTATAAGGGAGCACAATGGAGGAAGAGGCTGGGGTAGATATCCGAGAAGGAGAGAGAAAGGGAAAACTCTTGAATGCTGCATGCTTTGTTGAAGTCCATGGTTTGATGACAATTTGGTGACTTTCCTTCCATATTTGATGTATTTGATGTGACAAAACCACTCATCCAGTGACCTTTTAGTAGGGACTTTATAGCAAGAACACTGGCTCAACCTTGTCTCAGGCGTCACCCTGTGAACTGCTATAATGCTATGTAATTTATTCATCATTGGGTTATCTGGCTCTCACTCTATCTTCTCTTTCTGTCTGAAAGCCCTTTGTTTATAAAAGTAAAAATGGCAATCTGTCTATGTGATTATAATGTCCTTTCCCACTGATCACTCTGTTCACCAATACCAGACCTAGGCTACCCCAGGTTGGATGTAGACAGATGACACCTACCTGGTGGAACTTATACCAACAGAGCACAAGGCACAATCTTAGTCTCAGAGCATGTGTGTGGATACCATTTAAAAGTTAGGTAGAAGTTGTTATTTGCCTGAGGGAACCGCAGACCTGTAGACAAGGTCTGGCTCTCTGAATAAACAAGATTTATTGTTCTATAGCTTAACTTCTTGGTCTTTTGAGAACAGCACAGTGTGAGCTGTTTGGGGCATGGACCTTTTTTTTTCTTCTGTGTTTGTACAGTACTTGCCACATTTAGGTGCTGGTCTGTGTCTGGGTTCCTAGGTGCTACCACAGAGAGAAGTGATAGATCCATCTTAGGAGTGGTCAGGGCCCGTCACAAATAGAAACCAAAACTCCTGGCTCCCAGTCTAGTGTTCTAACCACTATACGGCACTACCTCATACTGCCTGTGGCCCAACATCTGTTCAGCTGGGCATAGAGGTTTTGTTTCTGCCTGAGAAAAGCTTCATAACCACGTTCTCTGAATATAAAATTGCCACTCATATTTTTCCTTTCCTATCTAATTAAATTTCCCCCAACCCATACTGCCAGAGTGTAATTGTCAGGGCATGTGACTTAAAGCAAGAAATAAAACAAAACAAGCTTGAAAGGGGAACTTGATAATAATGAAGTGGGTGCATTGACATCTAAAAATATACTTATGAAAAACACAGGAGTTAAACACAGATGGATCATAAATAAACACTATCGCCACTCACCAGCCATCCCTGGGCAAAGTTCAGCCTATGTGTTGTTTCATCAAAATCAGTGGGTTTGCAGCCTGTATACATATGTACATTCATGTTATAGCAGTGTTTGAGCTATATGCGAACAGGCAGCCACCACCCAGGACTTCAGGGGTGAACCTTTGGGAATCCTTGCTCTAGAACCTTCAGCTCCCCTTCATCCAAGTGTGCATGTATGTGTGTGTCTGTGCAGGATTTATTAATACCAGTACACTCCCAGCATTGAACTAAACTGCAAATCACAATTCAAGTCTGATGGAATCAACTTTCCAGATGCCCCAGTGGAGAGTGTGTATTTTATTAGCTGTGGTTGTGAGATGGCTTTGTAACTATTCATTCTACCCCATACAGGCAGCTGTAGTGTTTGACCTTTCATTTTACCACAATTGAGTAGCTGCTGTACCACTACCAGCTCTTCAGAGAGGTTTCTTTAATTTCCCCAACTAGCGCTTCTGCCTGCATAGACCAATGTTACCTGTAAAAATTTGCACGTTTCCTTTTATCTATGAAGATAAATAAACAGATACATGAAAAACAAGGGGGAGGGGAGTACAGTGTACTTTCCCTCTCTCTCACGCACGCATGCTCAGCTAAAAGGGAATTGAAGCGACTAAGGTGCAGACAGAAGTGACAATTTGTGCCTGATACGACCCCTGAAAGTGCTCCAGGGCTGTGATCAAATACAAGTGCACGGCTGCAGAGTGCTTTAAAAGGGCCCAATCCTGAAACAATCTAAACTTTCATTATATGAGGGTTCAGCTGAAGGTGCTCCAAAGTGGAGCACCTTCATTAACTTCTGTCTGCTTGTACCAGGAGAAGGGCTTGGCTGATGCATCCCAGCACTCCTCTTGGAGATGCTTTTAGAATGGGAGGAGGGGAGGGAGCACAGGGAGCTCATTCTGGGGGTTGCCTAGCTGGTGTTGGAGGGTGAGGTGGGTGGATTAGAGCCCCCTTGAGGTGGGGGCTCCAGTCCACCTTCCCGTTCCACTCCAGCACAGCCTGGGGGAACCCCAGAATGGACCTCCTTCCCTTACTCTCCTACCATCCTGAGACAACACCAGGGGTTGTGGGGGAGGGCGGGGGAGCAGAGCTAGGGGAAGAGATTGCAGAGACTCAGTCTCTCTCCCTGGATTAGCTCTAAATTGGAGCTCAATTCCCCCACCTTCCAAACCCAACAGCTAATGTCTGTTGGGCTGGGAGGATCAGTCTAACTCATGGTGCTTTCTGTAAAGCACCACAAGCTAGACACGAGCTGCACTTCTGCACTTCAAGGGCACATCCAGAGCTGTGCTTCAAAGACTGCACTTCTGCTGCACTTCTGCTCTTCAAGGGACACATCCAGAAAAGCGCACACACATGTTTCCCCAGAGACAAATAGCAACAGCACAAATTTATGCTGTTGCTAGTTGTCCCCAGGAAACACTACTGCACCTGTACTTTGGTGCAGGGCATATTGCCCAGGTTGGGGAGGCTGGGGCCAGCACTTGGGCTGACCCCAGTATGCCTTACCTGGAGTGTTAGGGGCCTCCCAGGACTACAGCAGTGGTGATCCGGACAGGTGGAGCATGGCTGGCAACTGGAATGTGGGTCCAGCCAGCCAGGCTCTGGTTTTGGGTGTTTTTTTATCCACACATTTTTTTTAATATTGGGATTTCCCTGTATCTAAGTTTGGCTCTGTGCTACAAATATGCAGCATGGCAAACCAAATCACTTTGAAATTTTAGCACTGAGCATCACACAAGGTGGAACCTTTGCACAGGGTGATGCAAAAAAATGCAGGGCAACTCTAGCCCTGATTGCAGAACTCTGCTGCCTAGAGGCGGCAGGCCCCAGGTGCCTGCCCCATCTATAATCGCTCTGTATGGCAGTTAGCTGACAGCCATTTCACACTTGCCACCCATACAAAATCAGCATTGTAGCCTGCATCCACTGGCCCATCCACAAGCACCACCAACCACTGGGGACATGCATCCATCCACACATCCTGCCATGGAGGAGGTCAGTGGGTCCATCCGCCATGGCAAGTGCATACTTCTATTCCCCCACTCTGATCCCACAGCAGAGGCAGCATCTGTTCATTGCTGCATGAGGCAGTCCAGTAGTCTTTGCTTGCCTCTTACTACAAGAGATGGTGGTCCCTAATGACTTGGACTTGTGGAGAAAGCAGGCAATTATGATGGTTCACCACTGTGTTTGGCTGTGTAATGTCAGGGAATGCCAATTGTGTACCTCACTACTCATTATGACCAGTTTGCACAGTTTGACTAAGATGTGATAAGAAGCACTACTGATCTGTGTCTAGTCTGTCAGCCAATAATTTGCAAAGCCTGTAGACAGGAAGCCACTTCCTGTCTGATGCCTACAATTCTTCTAACAAGGTAAGTAACAGGGGGCTGACTCCTTAAGTATGGGAAGTGTAAGGGGGGCAGTGTCTGTGGCAGGAGTGCTAGGTGTCTTGCCAATCTAAGACACAGCAGGCAGTTGCATGGCAGCCTGTACATGCTTTGGCTCCTCATCAGGTCAGTGGAAACAACCAGCCAGTCAAAGCAGCTGCTGGGTTGCAAGGACCTTGCTGCTGTCTCAGATTCTTTCGGTTTTCCTTATGATTCCTAGGTATTTTTCCCACCCTCTCAGTGATGCAGATGAAAAGAAGAAAGAAGGTCCCAACAGAGCTTCCCAGGGTACCAAGCTAAATATTCTTTATTTGGTTTGGCTTGTGGGATGTTCCTGAACATACCTGTGATTCTGTTTGTTTGTTTTGTTTTCCTTATGATTCCTAGGTAATTTGCCCACCACCTGTGATGAAAATGAAGATCTTGATAGAGTTTCCCAGGGCACAAAACTAAGTACACACTCTTTTTTTGGTTTGGTTTGAATTTGATTTGTGAGTGTGACTACAAGCATAGCCAGGACCTGGCTGCCAGGAAGGCCAGGGTTCCTGTTAGTGGACCCATGGTCCACCCCTAGCAGCAACAGCAAAGTTGTCAGGGAGAGCCAGGGGAACACCTGCATTCACCTGACCTGACACAAATCTTTGCCCCATGAAGATAGGATTACTTATGTGGATGCTTTGATATGTTGCTGTTACTCAGTGTATTGCCACAGAAGTATAGGAGTGGATATGGGGCTTTTGGCCCACCCCCGGGCCCACCCACAAGTTGTGCCCCACCAGACACAGGAGGCACCAGTCGCCCATGAGCCTGCACATGCTATTTCTAATGTTATATTCCACAACGTGTTTAACAGGTAATTTCCTAGGTTATCAAATGGATGATCACACTTGTGGGTTTCTTTCAAGTGGTGGATATGTGTAAGATGTACCTGGTTTTGGTCTCACTTACACTAGTGAAAATATGAAGTAACACTGAAGTCAATTCATTTCCT